TCTCTATTTCTAAGCTTGTTTAATGTTCTTTTTGTTGCTATTTCTTTACTTAGTTTTGTTTATGATATTTCTTATTGTTAGTTATACAGAAGGGTGTGGTAACCTAATGAAGTGGATAGGTTGTCAACCCTCAAGTGGCAGGTCTAAGGTTCAATTCTCACAGATGATGAATTTTGGAAATTATACCTGTATTACGGTAACTGTCTTTTGCCAATCAGTTGGGTTTTGGGCATCTGTAATCTTAGGTACACCAAGTTGAATCCCACCTGACATTGGGAGCTTGGGGCATCTATGCGAAGTATAATATTACATGGTACATATACATAGAGGAATGTAAAACTAGTGTCGTATAAAGCTTCAGGCAAATCCATAATAAGACCACCAGGCATAGAAGGCTAAGAAACTGAAGAGATAGAAACTCACTTGGAAATCCTAAGTAAAGAGGTAGCACAAACTTTCGATGGTGCCATTGGACTGATAGAAGCCCATGAAACACCTTCATAGGAACTGTTGGATAAACCAGATAACAAAGATGTATAGAGGAGCACATGACCAACCAGGCTGCTAGAATTGCTAGAGGAAAAGGATACATAAGTATATCATACTAGGCCATCTGGATTGGAAGTCTGAGGAGTCAGTTAGTTTCAAGTTGTGGCTAGTAAGAGATAATAAAAAAAAAGTCAGAAAAATGGATATTAGGGTTTGAGTGAACTTTACAAGGGTAATAGTGGTTTAAGAGATAATCATGACTGCAAGTATTGGTCTCAGCCATAGTGTTAAACCAGGTTAGTGATAAAAGAGAATACAGCTCACTCTGGTAGGTTTACTTCGAAGATAAAAATAGTCTAAGGATTATAATCTTATAGTCAATAATGAATAGATCCAAGTCTGTGACCTGGTGAAATTAATACTAGGGTTAAATCAGAAGGTTTAAATAGAATACCTAAGCAGGAGTGTTAGATATGGCAACTGGTAAGGAACCCTCAGGCAGACTCCTTAAATAAGTAATATAGAAAAGTTATACATGTAGCTAGTTGTATACTCATCTAATAGTTCATTATAGATACATCTATATAAACATGTACCTACTATAAGTATTAATAAAAAGCTCAGACCAAAGAGGTCATCTTAATACTGAAAAAAAAATTTTGTTAGTTATACAGAAAGTCTATATATTTTTTTTACCAATTTTGTGTTCAAGTGATTATCAGAGAAAGTGTAATATATATTATATTTTGCATAAATTTATATATATTATGTTTTTTGTATAATCATAATGTATTTTTTGAGTCTATTATATATATAATAAAATCAATTTTTAAAAAAAGAATATTTATATAAATTTCTTATCCACTTTATACAATATATATATTTATTAATAAAATAAATATATATATTACATACTGCAATATGCTTATATATCACATATTGTAATATGCTTATACATTATATATATTTACAAATTATAATTTAACAACTAAAATAAACTAATCTTTTGTTTAGTTAGAGTTATGAAAAGGATTTATAGTAAAAATTCTTAAGGAATTTTTTTTGTTAAAGTACAAAAAATAGTTTTATATATGAAAATTTAGTTATAAATGACTTTTGTCAAAATGAATATTTGTTAACAGAAAAAACCATCAATGTTACATGACTGATCTTTCACCTGGTGTGCAATGTATAAATAAATTATTTTACAATACCAGATCATTCCACTAGTACATGTTATAATTATAATCCAACATCATTTTTATTATAATAAAAATGATTGTTGGTTGAATTTTCTGATGTGCTACGTTACACCTGATATAGAAATTTGATTGGCCAATCATTAATATGCGATGTATAAGCACATCGCGGGGTTGCGAGCCTAATTAAGTCCTTATCGATAAGTCATTAGTACTACGTTTTGAGTTATTAAGTACCAATGTTTAATTTTAAATTCCGGTACGTAACTGATTTTTTGGGCGACGCTAGGGTGGCTTGAGGGTAGAGATTATATAGCGGCGTTATATAGTAATATATTAAAATTTAATCGAATATAGGTTTAAAACTTGCAAAAGAAAGGAATAAAGATAATCATACTGAAAACTTTTAAATAAAATAATACAATATATAAATTTTTACTTTTATTTCGTTAACATAGCTTTGACAAATGTTAATAAATCTTCTTTAATCCAGTCAATAAATTCTTGATCGTATCGAACTTTTTTTTTATTAGCGCCTACTTGTATAATATATTTACTATGAAAGCTAATCTTAAATTCACATCCTTTTTTATGTTTTAAAGAATAATCTTTACCATAAATTCTTGTACAGATTAAACTTACCAAACGTAATGGACATGTATTTAAACGAAAACCTAATTTAAATGTGTTGACATTGTCGTATCGTTCTGAAGATATTATCGCTATGAATTAAAAATATATATCGCTTTATATACTAATTACTCAAGTTAAAAGTTTATCACTGCCTTATCGAATCGGCCAACCAATAATTCGGTCAATTTTTCACCTGATCCAAAATTTATGAGAACAGCTGTACGTGTAATCAGTAATATTCAAAATTGCTGAACCAAATGGACCGGATACGATACATTCGCACGGCAAATTCCTAGTACCCCTGGTCGGAATATTTCGGAATCATGATTGGCAGGGCCGAAATTAACTAATTTTGCCCAAGATCACTAAAAGTTTTACTAACGCTAATGAAACCATAACTCACTCATTAAGTAAAGCTGCCCAGCTGATAATTTTGGCCCAGAAATGGTTAACTTGTATTACTAAATGCTAACTAAATGCCGGCTAAATCCGATGGTTTCGACCCGGAATTTTGGGGATCCCCCTGTATGAGTTCCCGGTACTAGGATATTTTTATAGAGAACATGTATAAAGTAGCAGATCTCAAATCTAAAGGCATGAGAACATCAACACCGATTCCGCCATATAATTTTTTCGAGTTGGGTACTTTGATATGGGAAGGTACTAGTGTTAAATTTTTAATTAAAATTTACTGCACAGTTTGAGAACTTTTCTATGCGGAAAAAAATAAATTTATGAATTACTGCTTGTAAATGTGCGCACAGCGAAAAACATCACTGGAGGGTACTATGGCCGTGCTGTATGGTAATTAATAAAAATTCAGATCATAATTTAATGTTAACAAATTATAAAGGTTTTCAAAACCCAAAAATATTTAATAATATAAAACATTATATGACACGTGTGCTTATATTTTTTAATTTGAATCTATAATTTCCCATCACACAATCAACAATATAGCCTTTCATTAAAAAGCTTTCAAAAACTCTTCCTAGTAATAAAAAATAAAGAATAAAAATAAAAATACACATGAAGGAAAGAGATCACGTCCCGATAGAATTGAAAAAAATATATATTCTTTTATCTAATAGCATTCAGCTTCTTCGTAGCAACTCTTAATTTGCTTGCTGTCTGATCAACATTTTCACTCAATTCAGATAACATGCGATTCTGAATTTCTAATTCTTGACCAATGGCAATTCCAATATGTTTATGTCTGTTCAATACAGCACTAAATTGTTCAGCATGACGATCTTGATCTTCCATTGTTTGTTTTTGCAATTCGACAAGCCCTTTGTTGTCTAATCCTCGAGTTGCTTCTGTTTCGACAGTCATAGCTCGACTGTTACCAAACACTCGTCGTGATGCTGGTGCCTTTTGGACGATTGATGAATCATTAGCTGAAACTCCAATTCCATTATTACCAATTGCTGGTAATGATCGTTGTCTAACTGGCGCTCGGAATAACGCTGCTCGATCAACTGAGCTTGCTGGTTTCGTAACCTTATTAATATCTGGTCGGTGTGCCAATACAAGCTTAGTTAATGTATCTTTTTCGTCTTTAAGATCGTTCAAAAGATCTTGTCGTCTTCTTAACTCTCCCTCGGACATGATTCTTCCGTCTCTTCCCGTTCCCTTTGCCAATCCTATAAGACCACTTTCAAGTTGAGAAGTTCGAACTCCAAGCGTTGTCAGGCTTTTCTTGGCTTGTACACTACAATTATGTGATGCTTGAACTTCGTTACGTGCAATATGTGTTTCACGACGGTTAATAAGTGACCGAATTTCTTTTGTTATAGCTTGTACTTGATGATATTCGTCAAGCCAACTTTCTGAAGAGTACATAGTCGTAGTGTCAAGAGGCCTTCCGGTTGGTATCGATAGAAATTCTTTCCAATCTTCTGTTTCTCTCCAACAAGCATCTTTATGAAACAGAATGCCGTTTAAATAATCTTCTAAGCCTCTTCGTCTTTCTTCAACCAACACTGGATTTCCTAAAGTTGATTGAAAGTAATGTTTTGCTGGAATTTCAAAAGGTGGTGGATTATTTGGAAAAAGTCGCACCAATTTATCATTCAATTCGTCAAATTCACTATAACGTTTCCAAATAGACCATGTTCTAACTTCTGCATGCACTTCAACACGATAAACAATGTGAGGTTTAGGTGTGCTTCGTGTTTCCGTTTCTCGAATATAAATATTCTTAATATTTTCACTCATTATGTTCTCAATAAATCGTGTGAATAGGTTCTAACACAACTTATACGTAGATAGGAGTCATTTTATATGTTTCACCATTACAGTTTTGGTTGATGTAATCTTACAATTACCGTTACGCAAATTTGCATTTACACGTTGTGGGCGTCATAAAGATACGCATAATGCCGATAAAAAGATCTGATCGTTATTATATATGTTTATTATCAACAGTACTGTTTTTTTTATATATATATATTAAATCTTAAAAAAGATGTGTTGAAAGGTAGAAACAAATGATCTTGAAATTAAGGAAATTCATTACATATGAGCAAAGATGATATTTCTTCAAAACCAAATGGTATGTGATAAAAAAATAATCTACATGTGTGCTTTATAAATAAATATAATCTCTTTACTAATATCTTGCAAATCAAAAATGGCAATCTTAATAATAAATTTGTTAGCAATATTAAAAAACATTCAGGTATTAACAGTATTAAGAACAAGTGGTTCTTTCAAGCTTCTTCTCTTTTCATCCTCTTTGATAAAAACTTCCGCAACTTCTGCAAGTGCTTCATCTTTATCAACTTCTTGAATAGCTTCTTCGATAGCTGCCTTCGTTTTGGCTTGTTCAGCCGCGCTTACTTCTTCTCGGGTAGGTGGCAAACGTTCGTTTTCGAGATCAGATCGACGCGCCTCTTCGAAAGAGGTTATGGCTTTTTTGTAATGTAGACTCAAATTAGTTTATTATCATGCACACTGCAGAAATAATAAGTAATGTAATGTGATCTACCTTGTTTGATGCCCTCAGCACCCAAAGCTAAAGTACCATAAGGCAATTTACCAGTACCAGTGACGTTCTTTAATTCCATAACACGCTCCGATTCTTCTCTATTTAAGATATAAGTACAGTAAATATTATTGTGTAATTTCAAGACATGATCGATTTTCTTAAATACCTAAGAACGGAAAATACTCTAGCCATTTTACCAACTGCCAAGATCTTACTCTTGATAATTTGGCGCCTTTCTGCTCCGTCAGCTGACGTTATATCTGGAAAAATAAAGAATCTTATAATTATTGAGAAAGGTAATAATGTTTTATACCGTATAGCGCGGATCACAGTACCCATGTAAAGTATGTCCACACTGAAAATTTCGTAATAAAATGTAAAATATCTGTGGTATAGCATATGTTAGGGAACCTGGCACGATAGTCATTGGCATGCCAAAGCATCTAAAGTTCATTAATGACATGCCTTTATTATAAAATTATTATAAAAGTATTCTAACTGGTTAAAGGAAATTTAATAATATTCGAAAAATAATTAATTATATAGTACGGGACAGCATAAGATATCCACTTTGATAAAAATGATAAAAAAATATATTAACCAATCAAAATTCTTAAAATTATATATACGTGCCAAATTTTAAAAATCATATTCTAAATTGTAATAACTTTTTTAAAATTAAAAATTTTTAAAAATCCCTTTTTCAGATTTATTAATAAAAACAATAAATTTGAAAGAGGGATTTTTATTTTAACTCATTTTAAAAAAGTTATTCCGAAATTGAATGTCTTAAGCTGTCCCGTACTGTAGACGTGCCAGGTTCCCTAGCTATGTAAAAAAAATTTTACATGGAAAATCACTAAGCATAGTACCCTGGGTACTAGGATTTTCATCTGTGAAATGTATTGTAATCCGCACTGTACGGTAATTACGTTCGTTACGTTATCTAATGTATACCTGTTGATTTCTCTTCATCTACAAGCTCTTCATCTAACAATTCTTCTTTACTACAGATATTTAAGATAGCAAGAAGCATGTCCGTAACTAGATGCAAGGTATTACTATAGGTGAATTAAGTTTGTTCGAATTGCCAAAATGAACATATATACACATAACACAAATGCATACTCTTTTCACCCACAAAAGGTAAAGACCAAGTAAATACATCCATAAAATTTGGTAACCAATAAGGATGAGGCGTATAATTGAACTGGCGAATATTCATGACATTATTCTCATATTTTAACACAGCAGCTAAAAAAAATCGATTTATCGCTTTAATTATCACAAATAAACAAAACATAACATTGATGTGAACAAACCTTTATTATTATATACGTCTAAATAATTAGGTGCCGAAAAAATTGTCATAACAGAAGGAAAACCAGTGGTCTTTGTCTTACGATACATTCGGTACCTAGCAAACATGTTTAGAATGATAACTCAAATGAAGCGTTATCAAGAGATATAATTTCTTACCCTGCATCTTGAGCTTCATGTGCGCGAATAATTGACAATAATCCATTCTTTTCCAAAAAGTTACAAGCGGCATGGTAACTGATCAAACGATTGACAAGGTATTAAATTCTAGCTTGATACTATTGTTGAATGTAATTATAATTTACCTAAAAAAGTAGGAGCACCCCCGAACATGATTATGTATAAAACATTCATTTGTTTTTTCTTGACCAAATTCTTCTAGTGGATCAGCCCATAACAAATCGCACATTAACCCGTGTGTTGGCGGTTCTCGGAATCTATCGATCTGGCAAAATATTGGAATGATTAAATGTGAATTACTTATTCTGTAGATACTTAAAATGTAAACATACATCACGTAAATCATCCAAAGTATTAAGGTCTGGTGATAAGCCACCATGAATGCATAAAAATTGTTTATTCATTATGGCAGCAAGTGGAAGCGCACAAAAAGACTCCATACAAGCGTCATAAACTTTCTCGGAATATTTATGTTTACCTAAAGTATACGATTATAAAGACTTTGTTATATGAACGTTAACAATCGAATCGAATAAGAAATAAACCAACTTACATTCCAATTTAAATGTAAAATAATCCGTCAAGTGACGGCATTCATGGTTACCACGCAACAAGAATAATGTATTAGGATACCATATTTTTAATGCCCATAGATAAAGAACACACTAAAATACATAAAAAGTGAGCTAAATATCTAACGATCATCTAAAATATTTACTAACAGAAATGGCACTTCAGGAATATTATTAAATAGTCCCAAATGGTCATTTATTATCAGATTTCAAATAAAAACCCATGAAAAAAAAAACCTCAATAGAAAAATATCCTCTGTCGACGTAATCACCAAGAAAAAGGTATCGGGTCTCTGCTGGATTACCACCAACTTCGAATAATTTCATCAAATCATAATATTGTCCATGAATATCACCACACACTTTAAGGTAGGATTGTTGATTAGATCAGATAGCTTGTATAAACATAATAATACCGCGTTATTGATTCAAACTTACCCGTTATAGGTGCATCTACTTCCAATAAGTTGGGTTCCTGTTTTAATAATTCAGTTCCCTTATGGATAATGAATAAAGCTTGTTCCTCTGTAATTCTTCCCTCACGGTAGAAATGATTCTTCAGAAATTGAATATCGGGTTTTTCAGGATCATCTTTGGAAAAGAATTCCTCATCCGTTGGCTTATGAACAGCAGGTGCTTGGACGTCTGAATGTGCGAACAATGTTATTTTTAAAAATGTTAATAGGTAAGCTTCCTAAGGCGTGTCTAACCCAAGGATTTTGTGCTGCAAAGTTCCTAGTTAATTTGATAAAATTGAGTTGTATTCGATAGTAAACATCGTGCCATCTTAAAGATTCTGCCGTATCAAATAACGTTTTTTTTTGATTCTATCTCAAGAAGTTTGCTAGCCGTATAAAAAGTCGTCACCCTTGCTTTTTTTAAAAGTCACGAACCTTTGCAATAACGGTCTAAAGTTGACACTTTGCTACCATCGTCCATCTCATGTATGGTAAAATCAACCGTCACTACGGGCACTTTTGTTTCAGCTAGTCTTTTAAGATAAGTGGCAGCATCTTTCGGGAGACCTGGTTCGTTCGTATCATTTTCACCCATTTTAAAATCTGAGATAATATAAACGCTAAGTCTATTTCATTTTTATATGTAGGTCTGTGTAACATGAAATGTCTACTATTTTATTATGATATATGCAACGTTTACATCAATACAAATATTACTACGTATCACTATGTATCACTATGTATTTATTTATGTACACCATAGCTTGGCATGTATTATTATACTCTAAGAGCTAGGTAATTCCTCACTATGACAACTTGTGTATTAGGCATTTGATTTCTTTGAAAAGTTATCGGCTCTTTCCACCACTCCTGCACGTATATGCAAAAATATTTTGAATAATTCATGCTGTATTCACGTTTCGATCCCACAAAAAGTCAAAAAATTTTTTTATTTTAGTTCTATTTATTTGTAAAATTAAGATAAAAAAAAATTTATCAATTTAAATAGGGAATTGCTAAAAAAATTTAATTAGTTATTTTTTTATAAATTAATTGCTTTGTAACCTTTAACTATAATTAAAATCCAGTGTAATGTAAGTTTTTTTAAAAAATAAAATTTTATACGTATTAAGGTTAAAGACTTTATTGAATGCAGTTATAGTAGTCATGGTTACAAATTTATTAACCTTTTTTTGATTAATAATAATATTAAATTAAATTACTACAGTTAAACCTTTTTATAGTCACCTTCTTTATAGTTATATTAACTTATAATTACATAAATTTTTAAAAACCAACTTATATAACATTTATAAAATTTAACCTTTATATAGGCACAAACTTTATAAGTACCAAATTCTTGAAACCAAAGGTATAATTATAGAGAGGTTTGATTGTAGTATTTAATATTAGTTTTGAATAAAAAAAATCAAATAGAAGTCAAATATAATTTAATATAATATATATATTATTAATTTTTTTTTATCTTTTTGATAGCCTTGCTATTTATTTTTATTTTTTATTTTTTTTAATATTAAGGTGAAGTCTTGCTTATATCTTTATTAATAATTTAAAATAGTTACATGTATATATGCTATGATTGAAGCCAACACTTGCAGTTAGGGTTAACTATTAAACTGCTAACTATACAGCTACTACTATTTGTACAAAATAAATAAATTAAAAATTACATGCAAGAATAAAAACTCAGACTAATTTATTTGCAACTTAAACCCATTAAAGTGATCAAAGCTTATCTAGATTTAAATATTTAGTATATAATTTGATAATATGTTATATTTGATTCATAAAATAAATCAAATATTGATTTTGCAAATTTGTTTAGTCAATAGAAAAGTATATGTTAGAGTAAGTATATAATTGATCTGAAAGTCTACAAAGGTATAAGTAAATATAGTTTTTATGAAAACATGTATATCTAGTTGCTAAGTTGGATAATATTAAGAACTTGTTAATTAGTTAGGATTGAGGTTTATTTTGTTGTTTTTTTTAGTTAAAAAAGTGAATGAAATATGTTTTTTATAACTATTCATATAATTATTCATTAATATTAAAAAGAATATTAGGGTGTGGGTCCCATAGCTTAGTGGTTAAACTCCTATGCCCCCACAGTCAAGGTCAACGGTTCAAGTCCGGCTGGAGACAAAATTAAAAAAGATTTTAGCCTCTGTAATCTAATAAGGAGCCAGTAATTGAATGTGAAGCCCTGTGGTTAAGTCCAAGTGCAGTACATGACTGAAGTAGGAATTCCTG